CCCTCATTCTTTCCTAGCATCAGGGTTTCCCAGTGAGTTGGCTCTTCAAATTAGGTGGCCAAAGTATTGGAGCTTCAGCACCAATCCTTCCAATGAATATTCAGGGTTGATTTCTTTTAGGATTGACTGGTTGGATCTCCTTGGAGTCCAAGGGACTCTCAAGAGTCTTCTCCAACACCACAGTTCAAAGCATTAATTCTTTAGCATTCAGCCTTCTTTATGGTCCAACTCTCACATCTATTCATGACTACTGGAAGAACTATAGCTTTGACTATAAGGACCTTTGTCAGCAAGGTGATGTCTCTGCTTTGTAATACACTCACTAGATTTGTCATAACTTTTCTTCCAAGGAGCAAGCATCTTTTCATTTCATGGCTTCAGTTACCATCTGCATTGATCTTGGAGCCCAAGAAATGAAATCTGAACTATCTTTACTTTCCCCCCATCTATCTGTCATGAAGTGATAGGACCGGATGACATGATCTTTGTTTTTGAATGTTGAGTTTTAAGCCAGCTTTTCACTCTCCTCTTTCTCTTTCATCACGAGGCTCTTTAGTTCCTCTTCACTTTCTGCCATTAAAGTGGTGTCATCTGCATATCTGAGGTTATTGGTATTTTCCGAGCAATCTTGATTCCAGTTTTTTGAGTCATCCAGGCCAACATTTCGTATGAGGTACTCCGCGAATAAGTTAAATAAGGAAGGTGATAATATACAGCCTTGACGTACACCTTTCCCAATTTGGACCAGTCTGTTGTTCCATGTCCAGTTCTAACTCTTTCTTCTAATCCTGCATACAGGTTTCTCAGGAGGCAAGTAAGGTGGTCTGGTATTCCATCTCTTTATGAATTTTCCTCAGTTTGTTGTGACCCACACAGTCAAAGTCTTTAGTGTAGTCAATGAAGCAAAAGTAGATATTTTTCTGGAATTCTCTTGCTTTTTTGATGATCCAATGAATGTTGGTAATTTGATCTCTGGTTCCTCTGCTTTTTCTAAATCCAGCTTGTACATCTGGAAGTTCTTAGTTCATATACTGCTGAAAGATCCTGGCTTGCAGGACTTTGAACATATTTTGCTGGCATGTGAAATGAGTGCAATTGTACAGTAGTTTGAACATTCTTTGGCATTGCCTTTCTTTGGGATTGGAATGAAAACTGACATTTCCAGTCCTGTGGCCACTGCTGCGTTTTCCAAATTTGTTGGCATACCGAGTGCAGCACATTAGCAGCATCATTTTTTAGGATTTTTAAATCGCTCAGCTGAAAATCCATCACTGTCACTTGCTTTGTTCATAGTAATGCTTCCTAAGGCCCAGTTGACTTCACACTCCAGGATGTCCGACTCTAGGTGAGTGACCACACCATCGTGGCTATCTGGGTCACTAAGAGCTTTTGTGTACAGTTCTCCTCTGTTCATGGAGATTCTCAAGGCAAGAATACTGGGGGGGGGGGGGTGCCATACCTTCCTCCGGGGCATCTTCTCACCCAGGGATGGAACCCACGTCTCATGTCTCCTGCACTGGCAGGAGGTTCTTTACCACTAGTGCCACCTGATTGACATAAACGGGCCTAAAGAGCCCTCATATCAACCCTGCTTCTCTTAGAGGAAAGATTGCCATCATGCAGATAATCTGACTTAACAGTGATAAATGCATGATGGCTATCATTAAGTCAGTTTTAACAAAGCAGGGAAACTAGTTGCATATGAGCAATGAGAAGTGTGTCTGAGACATCACTGAAGTCCCCTTTGGAAAGGGCTGGATATACAATGTGAGGATTTTGATGATTGCTGTACACTTACTTGGTGTACGGTAATGCACACTGTGATTATTTATGTAAACTTCCTCAATTCAGATGTGAAGTCCCTTCTGGTCATTTTATTAGACTCTGTGTGTATATCAAACAAGATTAGATGATATCTTTTGTAAGATTCCACAGTATTTGAGGCAATGTATCCTTTTTTAGCCGTATAATGAATATAAACTTGAGCCTGTTTGAGTCTTGGAAATTGTACATTTTAAAAGAATTATTTAAATACTGAATCTTCTTAAATAGTTAATCAGTTTAAGCTATGCTACTTGGACATTAAGATTATATATGTTGGAAATATGCAAATATCATTTGAGGGCATTACCACATTTTGAGAAAAAAATAAGCATTTTTTGCAGGGGACCAAAAAGGAATATTTCCAGATATAGGATTCATTTGAAAAACCTACACATAATTTTAGGCTGTTGCATTTGAACTTAAAACCCAAGCCCGGCACAAGCTGTTATGTACAAAATGCTGTGTTAGTTGCACGGCCCCCTGGAGGTGAGTCAAGCTCCACACGCCTTGTTGCTGGTTTATTTTATGCCCAGAGCCCATTTGCTGCCGTCCTCTACCTTGTTTCCAAAGTAAAGAAACCTGCATCACGAGTTCAGGTCTTATGCTCCAGAAAAGAAAACACCATCTGACAGGAAGATGAATAAATGGGACAAATAGGACGCTTTCATTGGAGGTTGGCAGCATTTAACTCACGTTTAAAATTTGTGGTTCTCTAAGCCATGGACAGTCATTAGCTCAAGCTAGTGAAGATCTGTGGGGAAAGACTTCTGCAGATCTGCACGTGGAACCCTGTGGCTTTTCTGCTCAGAGGCCATGGTCACAAAGGACAGAGGGCATGAGCATCTCCCCAGGCAGAGAGCGCCACTTAGGGCGATGCCGAGGGTGTCTGGATGTCTGGCGCTCCGTCCTACATGGCGCCCGCTTAGGGTGATGCCGAGGCGTCCGGATGTCTGGCGCTCCGTCCTACATGGTGCCCGCTTAGGGCGATGCCGAGGCGTCCGGATGTCTGGCGCTCCGTCCTACATGGTGCCCACTTAGGGCGATGCCGAGGCGTCCGGATGTCTGGCGCTCCGTCCTACATGGTGCCCACTTAGGGCGATGCCGAGGCGTCCGGATGTCTGGCGCTCCGTCCTACATGGTGCCCACTTAGGGCGATGCCGAGGCGTCCGGATGTCTGGCGCTCCGTCCTACATGGTGCCCACTTAGGGCGATGCCGAGGCGTCCGGATGTCTGGCGCTCTGTCCTACATGGTGCCCACTTAGGGCGATGCCGAGGCGTCCGGATGTCTGGCGCTCCGTCCTACATGGTGCCCACTTAGGGCGATGCCGAGGGCGTCCGGATGTCTGGCGCTCCGTCCTACATGGTGCCCGCTTAGGGCGATGCCGAGGCGTCCAGATGTCTGGCGCTCCGTCCTACATGGTGCCCGCTTAGGGCGATGCCGAGGCGTCCAGATGTCTGGCGCTCCGTCCTACATGGTGCCCGCTTAGGGCGATGCCGAGGCGTCCAGATGTCTGGCGCTCCGTCCTACATGGTGCCCACTTAGGGCGATGCCGAGGCGTCCGGATGTCTGGCGTTCTGGGAGCGGGGCTGGGGCCGGGCAGCGTCCCTGGTCCTTCCGCTGTGCCTCCTGTTTGTGACCTGACATCAGACCCCACGAGGGACGGGTCAGCGGGTGGGTATCCAGATCCTAAGGATCACTTGCGAGGTGAGTGCGGGGGAGGTCTCTGTGGGATGCGCTGAGCGGTCTCTGGGTGAGATCTCTCAGAGTGGGCGTGCGGGAGGTCCCCGTGCGGGGTCAGTGCGGGAGGTCCCCGTGCGGGGTCAGTGCGGGAGGTCCCCGTGCGGGGTCAGTGCGGGTCTCGGTGGGGACTCTTGGTGAGGGGACCTCCGTTGGTGGCTGTCCTGCCCCTTACTGGAGAAGGCACAGGATTCCCCTTCTGGTTTCCTGCTGTTCCGCTGGTGTCCCTCTGGGTCACTTGTCTGCACAGGTGTCTTTGGGGTCCCCCCCCAGCAGTCCCCCCTCGATGCCTCTGGGAGGACCAGGCAGCCCCAGGCTCAGAGTCTCTGCCTGCCTCTCCCCTGAGCTCTGGAGGCTACTCTGTGCCCTGAGTCCCAGCCGCTCCCTGAGACCCTGTCTGCCCCCACTGCTGTGCCCACCCTGAGGGATCTGGCCCAGAGGCAAGACCTGGCCCCAGGTAGAGACCTCAGCACAAGCAGGCCTGCACGCCGCCACGCAGACCTGGAGCTGGTCCCGGGTGTGGGGGTCCTACTGGGCGTGGGGCAGGCCCACTGCAGCTGTCAGCGGATCAGGGCCGTCCTGGAGCTGGTCCCTCCGCCCATTGGGGACTGACACAGAGCCCCGAATCGCTCTAGAGAGTTGCTCTTGTCTCCCTGCTTTCCAGGGCTTCCCTGGGGCTCGGGTGGTAAAGAATCTGCCTGCAATTCAGGAGACCTGGGTTCGATACCTGGCTCGGGAAGATCCCTTGGAGAAGGGAGTGGCTACCCACTGCAGTATTCTTGTCTGGAAAATTACACGGACAGAGGAGCCTGAAGGCTACAGTCCATGGGGTCTCAAAGAGTTGGACACGCCTGAGTGACTGACACTTTCCTGTGTAGATGGGTCCTGGGGAAGAAAGCTGACTGCACCCTTCTCCACAGGTCACTTCCCGCTCACTGGGTGACACATCCTGCTGCTGGCTCCCTCCCTGTCTGGGCTCCGGGCTGAGCAAGCTGATGACAGCTGAGACTTGCTATGACTGTAGCAGAGCCCCTGGGCCTGCTGAGTCCCACCTGTCCTCTGGGAGCGTCCTTGGGCCACATGCATGCATAGGTAGAGGTCCCGGACCACGAGTCTGTCCCAAGCTCCCAGTCCTGTGAAAGCCGATTAGCTACACTCTGGAGAGGTGGAGATTGCCTGCTTGGAGGCTCTGCTGCTTCTGAGGGCCTGGCCCTCTGTCAGGGGGTCCAGGAGGCCTGTCTCTGCCTGGGCTCTGGGAGCTGGAGTAGAGGGGGGCTCTAGGGCGGGACCCCAGGAGCCAACGGCCCCTCACGTCTTTCCTCTGGGCCTGCAGGTGCTGGTGGGACGCCAGCGGCTCCTGGGTCACTGCACCATCTGTGGGCACCTCTGCCCCCTGCCTCCTTTCCCCACGTCCGACACTGGGGGCGCAGTGTCCCACCTCAGACAGTGAGGGGCCTGCTCACAAAGACATGCCCCTGCCCATCCCCTGGCAGAGGCGGGGACTATGAGCTGTCCTCTTCTCCAGGGCAGGGGTGGACCAGCCCTCCGGGGCCTCCATGCTCCACACCACAACCCTCCGAGCTGAGAGTGTGTGGTCCCCGTTCTCACCCCTGCTCCAGAGCAGGAGAAAAACAGAGGAAGGGTGACAGGCCTGGCCCATCTCATTACAGTTCCATCTGGAAGAGGAGGGGCTTCCAGGACAGCGTCATCTAATCCCACCATGACACGGGGACGATCTCCCACCCTGGACTCGGCCAGCCATGCCCCAGACTCCCCTCCTGATCCTGACATGTGAATAGTCTGACAGCTTCTGAGCCTGGGGGGAGTTTCAGCTTCTGCAAACTCCTCCCCTACAGCCTCACAAGTTCAAGGTAGAGAATGGGGCGGGGTAGAGCTGCATCCTGAGGAGGGAGGCCTTTAGGTTTAGTTCCCCGAGACATGTCCTGATGCTGCAGCCTGTTCCTGTAATGCTGGCGTGATGGACGCTGAGGTGCAGGAGGGAACTGAGTGCGGGTGAGTATCCATGCTGGGGTTCACTTTCCTTCCATGGGCCTGTCCCATGTGGAAGTCAAAGCACGCGCCTGGGAAGAGTGGCCCCTGATCCGTTTCCTTCTCCCGAGCAGGGCACAGACAGAGCACCATTTCTCAGCAGAAAAAAAAAAAACCTATTTATTTCAGGAAACTAATTTTGTGGTAGGAAGAAGCTTTCAGCACACAGAGGATGTGCTAACACGAGAGAAAAAAGGTGTCATATGCACGGTATGCATTTTTTTCTTGCAGAAGTGTTTTCCTTTCAGGAAAGCTGTGACAAGCATGTTCTGATTGACCAGAAGAGGTGTATTTCTGAAGAAGACAGTGTCTTGGACAGTGGAGGGGACGGCCTGGGACACTTGTCACTCTTGATCCTTGCTGGCAGGCTCTGCCCGGCCGGGGACCTGACTCCCTGGGTGGGAAGGTCCGCCTGCAGTCCCTGGGACTGGTCCACTTACTCTTTGTAGGACAGCTGTGACCCATGGGGCTGGCTCACTGATGGCAGGCTGTTTGTCTCATCGCTCTCCTTTGCTCTTCGTTGGAGAGAAACCTATGGTAGCAGTAAGCTGAACCTAGGGGCCCTGGAGTTCTGCTTTGTACCAATGAAACTCTGAAGATGAGGTCTACGGTGAAGCTCCATCTTCTCTAAGATCTGTCCATCAGTTGTCATGAGAGCCTGAGCCTCAAGAGTCTTGATGTCCAAAATCAGACTTCTTTTGACTGTTCCCTGGCTCTGGGCAGTGTCTGCAGCAGGCTTGCCTTTTTGCAGGGGCTGTTCTGGTCTTTTGCTTTATTGGGGAAAATCCACTGCTTAATCCTTTCTCTGAAGTGGTTTTCCGAAGAAACCTGTCCTTTTTTCAGGATTAACTGGTGAGACTTGCTTTGTAGGGACTCTGCTGGTTCCTTTTTCTGGGCAGGGTGGCTCATCCTGAGGGCCTGGTAGAACCTCTGTACCACCAACCCTTTTCTATGCTGTCCTAGTTTGGGCCTCCCATTAGCCTCTCTCGCGTCAGTGGAGATGAACTTCCTGCGCTGACTCTTATGTTGGGGCTGCCCTCTCAGGGCCTCCTGCTGTCCCTGGCTGCTCCCTCCACTCAGTGTAACATCACATGTGTGGGAATTGGACGTGTCTCCACTGGACAAGGTCTCAGAACAGCACAGAGATTCCTGAGAAGCCAAGGTGTTTGTGGCAATGAATATATCTCAGTGACAGTCTTTGAGAAGCCTCTCAGTGGCACAGTCTTGAAGGAGCAGGCACATGGCCTGGCCTTAGCCTGTTTCTGCCAGTCTAAGAACCCTTGGAACTTAAGCTTATGAGACCGTTCATCAAAGTCTACATCTTCTGGATTTGTGGCAACAGACTGTGTTCGAGGAGGGATTTTTATGGGACCTTGGAGACCATGATCTCCTCGTATCAATATTAATTATTTGGTATTTGATTAAGAGACTAGGTTCAAAAGTACCTTTCCAAGTAGTGTCTCTGTCCGTCACCTCTTGTCCTCTGGAAGATTGGGAACATTCATCAGGCCCATGACTGTCTCACTAGAACACATTTCTAGAGAGGCCTGTCCTCCAGATTCCTTCTGTGGCTCATTCCTGGCCATTGCTGGAGGTGGACTGGGCTCCAGGCTGCCTTTCTCAGCCTCCACAGCAGACTCGCTCTGCCAGATTCTGCCCACAAAGCTGTATGTGGGGACCTGAGAAGGTGGCTTGTCTTCCTGTCCAGTCAGAGGGGCCTCTGAGGGCTTCTGGGCGTTGCCAGTTGAGGTTCCTCGCAGGGCCCCCCGGGTTCCCTCACTCACATGGTAGGGGGCAGGGAAGGGCCTCTCCAGGGTGGGCGCTGCCTGCATTTCTCTCCTGGAAGGGGTGAGAATGTTTGCCCAAGCCCTCTGGTAACTGGGCTGGTGGGTGGTCCCCAGAGGGGCCTTCAAGGTGGACCTTGGAAGGCATATGCAGTGAGACCTTTTCAACTTCAAGCTCAATGTGATCTTGAGGACCTTGGGTAGTAGGACCCATCTTTGCCTGACCCCAAATCTTGTCAAATGCACTTCCAGCTCCTAGAATATAAGGACTGAGGACAAGAGACCTCATGGGAGGTGTTCATGGAGGCTTCCCTATCCTGAGAGGATCCTGCATTTTCTGTACCCATAGGAGCATTTGGCTCTCCAGGAAGGTCTACAAAGTGGTTGGCAGCAAACCTTGAACAACAGACATTAACAGGGATCCGCCACTCATGCATCTACTGTCCCTTCCTGCTTATAAGGACTCCCAGGACTTCTGGATGCTTCCTGCCTGGGCTCAACTCTTTCCAACTCAGGCTTTGTACTTGGGACCTTCACTGGCAGGTTGGCTGAGATCATGTACAGATCTTTTAGGATCCTCCCCACGCTCTGCTTTACTTCCTGGCACAGGTGCTTCCCTGGTGGGATCCTTGCTGGGTGCCAGGACCTCATCTTCTGTGCATCTGGATTGCTTTTGCCTAGACCTGCAGACAGACTTGAGGGCCTCTTCTTGCCCAGTGCCTTGACGAGGCTTGGGGAATCCCCCTGAGGCTGCATCTCTTTCTGAGGCTCTTGGGTTCTGCAGGGCAGGCCACTCTCTTATTGCATGAACCTTTTAGAAAGATGGTACTCCAGTTTCTCCCGAACCTCAGGGCTGATCAAATCCCTAGGAATGATGGAGACAGAGCTGTGGGCCTGAGAAGACCTGTTCCCCTGGGGAAGATTGGGGGTGACCTGGCTAAAGACATGCTGAGATTTTTTTAACCAAAGAGGATAAAGTTCTCCCACTTGCTAGTTGCTTTTTAAAAAAATGATATTCTAGGATTTGAATTGCACTGGGGATCAAAGATGGTGGCTTAATTTGGATTATAGGGCAAGACTTCATAGTACCTAGTCTGCAGTTGAGAGGAAGATGGTTGGATTGGGAAAGACAGGGTGAGATGAGCAGCGCTCTCTAACTGAACCCAAAGTGGTCCTTGATCTTGGGGCATGGTTAGAGTCAATTGTTGGGGTCAGGCCAGGGTTGTCATATGAGCCTGAAATTGAGGTTGAGAGTGAGGCTTGGTTGGAGTCAAGGATTTGGGTTGGGTCTGAATCTTTATGTCAGCCCGAGTTTGTGGCTGTGAGTGAGATATGATTGGAGTCAAGGTTTGGGGTCAGACCTGGGTTCCCTTGTGAGCCCGAGGTTGTGGTTGTGACTGAGGTTTTATTGGAGTCAAAGACTGGGGTCAGGCCTGGGTCCTCATGTGAGTGTGAGGTGGTGGTGGGTGAAAGTGAGCTTTGGTTGGGGTCAAGGGTTAGGGTTGAGCATGGGTGTCCACATGAGCTGGAGGTGGTGGTTGAAAATGAGTCATGGTTGGAGCCAAGTGTTTTGATTGGACCTGGGTCTCCACTTGAACTTGAGGTGGTGGTTGACACTGCGGTAAGGTTGGAGTCAGAGTTATGGTCTAGCCTGAGTCTCCATGTGAGCCCAAAGGTGGTGATTGAATCTGGGGCATGGTTAGAGTTAAGGGTAGGGTTCTGGACTGGGTCTCCGTTTGACCCAGAGGTGATAGTTGCAGCTGGGACATGGTTGAGCCAAGGAATGAGGCGGAGGCTGGGCTACAGCATAGGTAAGGGCTGGACCAATGACAGTTGTGATGTCAATTTAGTTGTATTTGGAATTGTTCAGCCTTAGAGCATTCATTCAGAGAAGGCAATGGCACCCCACTCCAGTACTCTTGCCTGGAAAATCCCATGGACGGAGGAGCCTGGTAGGCTGCAGTCCATGGGGTCGCTACGAGTCGGATATGACTGAGCGACTTCACTTTCACTTTTCACTTCCATGCATTGGAGAAGGAAATGGCAACCCACTCCAGTGTTCTTGCCTGGAGAATCCCAGGGACGGGGGAGCCTGGTGGACTGCTGTCTATGGGGTCGCACAGAGTCGGACACGACTGAAGCGACTTAGCAGCAGCAGCAGCAGAGCATTCATTGAATAAAATAGGGTGTAACTCTAGAGGGGACCCAGGTACTGTGTCAGTAGACACCAGAGACTCACTCTGCAGAAAGGGGAGACCCAGAAGTGCTTCCTGCATGTCTTCTGTAGATGGGCCCCCAAAGTGTCAGGATATCAGGTCTTTTTGGGACCAAGCAGCTATTCTCGTTTGCCTTTTATGCTCAATAAGTGTGGTGTGGCGTGGCTCCATCTGAGGGGTCTCCAGGCAAAGGTCCCCTTGGCCCACTATGCTTCATTTCCAGAGGACTGGACCATTCTACTTCTAGTTCTGAAAGTGTGTGATTCTAAAGCTTTGGTGTTCCCTAAGTGTAAAGCTCTGAAGTCTGGGAATCTTTGACTTTGGAATCAAGGATCTGAGTTCTTGAAGTCTTTCTGGTTCTTGAGTCCAAGGTTTAAGTCAACCATAGATCTGTGATGGCTTGATCCAACTCAAAGGTCATGGTTGGGGCCCAACTCCTTCCAGATCACTGACAAACTCTCTGATTTCCCAGTGGCATAGGACATGCTTGGGAAAAGTGGAAAGAAAATACAAGTATGACCTCTGATCTCAGCCTGCCTGATAAATTCCGAACCTCGCGTTGCTCTCCTCCCAACCCAGTTCACCCGGCTGCTCTGTAGGCTCATTAACTGGACTGAATGAACAGGAAAGCAACTGTTTTTTAACGTTTGCAAGTGGAGAGATGGAGACACAAACTTATAAGCGAGAGATTCTGTTAAAGAAAGGGTGTTTTATGATTGGTGAAATGCTTATGATGCAAAATGAGGGAGGGAGAGAGTATTTATTTGTAATTATTAGTTGGGTCATAATTTTTTATGGTGTTTCTCTACAGAGGTGCTCCAGGCATTTTATACAGATGCTGTCTTCATTGGGTGGGATGTTCCAGCATTTCTGGTCCTTGCCTATTAGTATGTCATTAACACACCCTAATCACAGGACAAACAACCAGGCCCGCAGCATTCTCACACCACAGACACACACACACACACGCACACACGCACACACACACACGCGCGCGCACACACACGCACCCACACACGCACACACGCGCGCATGCACACGCACGCACACACGCACGCGCACACACACGCACACACGCACACACAGACAGGTTCCTCCTTGAGATCAGGGACGCTGACATCCCAGTCCATGCCCCAGGCAGGGCCTGGCTCCTGGCAGGTATCCCAAGCTGCCCCCGGGCCCTTCCTGCCTGGACTCCAGACTGGTCCCGGCTCCCACCCTGGGTGCTGTATGTCACGCTCCACACAGCTGTCTGAGCATTTGCTTCAGAGCAGGAGTCATGCCAGTTCCCTGCTCACTGCCCCCAGTGCTTCTCATTTCTACTTAAAATAAGGTCGAAACTCCCTGCCTTGGCTCTCAGGCCCATTCCTCTCTCTCATCTCCTGCTGCATCCCTCACCCACACCACCCCAGCCAGCAGGCCTCCCTCCTGCCTTGACGATGCCAAGGCCGTTCCCACCTCAGGTCTCCACCTTGACTATCCCCCTGGACTCATTTTTTTTCCCAACTAACCTTGTCATGACTCGTTTCTTTACATGTGGAACTCCGCTGCTCCTCTGCGGAGCTTTACTTGATCGTGTGAGCTACAACAGGCCGCCCCAATAGCATGTCTCCCTGTTTTATTTCCTCTATACCACTTATTACATCTAAAGTAATGCTACTTATTTACTTCGTTTACCCTGTCTGCCCCAACTAAAATGTTCCCCTGTATCATTAGTTAAAAGATACTTAGCACAAGGACAGAGGAAGAAATGAGTAAACTGGATGATGAATAAATGACTGATTGGATCAGAGGATGAATGGGGGAGGGTGGGAGGATGAGTGGGTGGAAGGGTAGATGTTTGGGCGGATGGGTGAAAGGATGGTGGGCAGAGAGATGCAGTGAGTGGGTCTTTGATAGAGCGGAAAATAGATGGATGAAAAAATGAGTGTATAGGTAAATAGATGGAAGGGTGAGTGGGTGAATGGGACATGAGGAAAGATAGGTAGCTGGATGGAGGAACAGTGGATGGAAAGCAAGGTTAATGATAAACAAAAGGTGAGTGGATGGGAAGGTTAGTGAAAGGGTAGATAGGTTGGTGAGTGGCTGCTAAGCACCAGTGAGTGGCAGGTGTTGGAGGGATTTGCCTTTTCCCTTTGTGGAATAGGAGTGTGGCCTGTTGCTATGAAAGAGGTGGAGGGAATAGGATGAGTTTGGAAAAGTTTGAGAAACAGGGGAGGGCTTACTAGGCATAGGTAGAAGACTGAAACAAGGGTGAATGCCCAGCTGACGGGAGAAAGCCCCGTGCTGAGGGGTGGTGCTGACTGGTAAGGCAGAGCTCTGTAGCTCAGCCACAGCGTCCTTCCCTGATCTCCTCTTTATCCTCACAGCTCCGCTGCTCGAACCCTTCCATCTCCAGAGGGTAAGGTGAGCTTCATTCAGAACAAGCTCTATAAACTGTTACACGGAGATGGAAAAGGCAAGACTGCTCTGTCCATTGGACCTGCTGTGTGCTGGGGACTTCTCCACAGGAAAGTCCATCTGCCGAGTGAGTCAGGCCCTTTCTGTTTCCCTGCTGTTCTCAGGGCCTCAGTCTCTCTGGGGGAGGAGCTGTGGTCCCAGCTCTCTTTGAGGAGCCCTGGGCTTCCCGTTTCCTCCTCTCTGCGTCTTCCTGGGCTCCATCTGTTGGCCGCGTCCCCAGGCTACTCTGTTCCTAAGCCCCTTGCACATGAGGGCATCTATGGCATCTATTCTTGAGGCATATTTTAAAGTTTTTATTGAAGTGTAACATACATACACCCATGCTCTTTTCATAATTTGGATGAATTTTCACATAGTGAGGCAACATGTGATCAATACCCAGAGGCCCCACTCACACCTCCTTCCTGTCACCAACCCCCAACACAAACCACCATCTTCACCTTCAGTACCTTAGATCAGATTCTGAAGGTTCCATCAGTAGGATCTACTTCCCGTTGTCAGTCTTTTTTGCCTTCATTTTGTGTTTGTGAGACTCATGCATGGTGTTGCCTGCAGTTGCAGTGTGTTCGCGATCCTTGGTCTACAGGACTCTCCTGTTGCACTGAATTCTGTGAGCAGTTACACTCTTAACGGGTATTTTAGCACTCCAAGTTTTCCATTCCATTTCACTTCCAAATGTTTTATATGCTATTTCACAGAAACCCTTGCTTAGAATTGTTGGAGTGAAAAGTATGCGTGTATTCAGCTTTGGCAGATATTACCAAACGTCTCCAAAGTGGCTCGCAATTTCCACTCACTCAAACAGCAGATGAGAGTTTATAATCTCACTAATACTTAGTGCTTTCCATCTTTTTTCATTTTAATAGCTTACTGTAGTTTGATTTTTTTGATGACCAACTAAATATACTTTCACATATTTATTATCACTGGATATCTTTTTCTGTAACATTTCTTCTCAAGATTTCCCCCCCTTTTATTTTTCTGTTGGGGGCTCTGTCTTTTCCTTTAGGGGCTCTTTATGTATTTTATATATTCCAGATATGAGTCTACTATAGGATATTTTTTGTGTGTGTATTTCTTTGCATTTGTTCGTTTGTTTTTCACTTTTGGCTGTGTTGGGTGGGCACTAGTTACAGCTCTCAGGCTCTTCATTTCAGCGTGTTGGCCACTCTTAGTTGTAGCATGTGAGCTCCAAGCACGTGAGCTCAGTAGCTGCAGCATGTGGACTTAGTCGGTCTGTGGCACGTGGGATATCAGTTCCCTGACCAGGGATCAAACCAGTGTTCTCTGCATTGGAAGGCAGATTTGTAACCACTGGGTCACCAAGGAAGTCCCACTGATGGATATCTGAATTTTGAGACTTTCTTTACACTCCCTGTTTTCCCCTGTTTTAAAGGTGAGCAAACAGGTTCCAGAGAGGGTAAGTGGCTACCCTAAAACAAGGCAGCACAGCCTGAGCCTGAGTCAACTCTTACGCCCCACCCTGGGCCCACGTCTGCCCTTACACCTCCCCTGCACCCACGTCTGCCCTTAACACCTCCACCAAGCCCACGTCTGCCCTTAACACCTCCCACCAAGCCCACGTCTGCCCTTACACCTCCCCTGCGCCCACGTCTGCCCTTAACACCTCCACCAAGCCCACGTCTGCCCTTACACCTCCCCTGCGCCCACGTCTGCCCTTAACACCTCCACCAAGCCCACGTCTGCCCTTACACCTCCCCTGCGCCCACGTCTGCCCTTACACATCCCCCTGAGCCCACGTCTGCCCTTACACATCCCCCTGAACCCACGTCTGCCTTTACACCTCCCCTGCGCCCATGTCTGCCCTTATACCTCCCCTAGGCCTGCGTCTGCCCTTACACATCCCCCTGAGCCCACGTCTGCCCTTAATACCTCCCACCAAGCCCATGTCTGCCCTTACACCTCCCCCTGAGCCCACGTCTGCCTTTACAACTCCCACCAAGCCCACGTCTGCCCTTACACATCCCCTGCACCCACGTCTGCCCTTACACCTCCCCCTGAGCCCACGTCTGCCCTTACAACTCCCACCAAGCCCACGTCTGCCCTGACACATCCCCCTGAACCCACGTCTGCCCTTAATACCTCCCACCAAGCCCACGTCTGCCCTTACACCTCCCCCTGAGCCCACGTCTGCCCTTAATACCTCCCACCAAGCCCACGTCTGCCCTTACACCTCCCCCTGAGCCCACGTCTGCCCTTAATACCTCCCACCAAGCCCACGTCTGCCCTTACACATCCCCGAGTCCACATCTGCCCTTACACCTCCCACCAAGCCCACGTCTGCCCTTACACATCCCCTGCGCCCACATCTGCCCTTACACATCCCCCTGAGCCCACGTCTGCCCTTAATACCTCCCACCAAGCCCATGTCTGCCCTTACACATCCCCCTGAACCCACGTCTGCCCTTACACATCCCCCTGAACCCACGTCTGCCCTTACACCTCCCCTGCGCCCACGTCTGCCCTTACACCTCCCCTGCGCCCACATCTGCCCTTTCACCGCCCCCTGAGCCCATGTCCCCTCCTCCACAGACCCAGGTTCCACACCAGTCTCTGCGGGCTGCCGGCTCATCCACGCTGGGCACAGCCGTTGTGCCTCCACAGACCTGGTCCCTGGCATTGTTCCTGCTCGGGACCCTGAGACAGGCCCTGTGGTGATCTGCCAAGCCCCTCAGCCCCAGCGGTGTGTCTCAGGACCCAGCCTGCTCGCTGGAACCTTCCCCCCTCCCCTCCCTCAGCCCCATCAGCTCTCAGGGGTCCCTTCTTGGCTTCCCCGTCCACCAGCTGTGACCCCCACAATCCAAGCTTGAAAAACCAAATAAAAGCAAATGAAAGACTCATCCTGAACCTGTCCTGGGGCCCTACTGCTCCTCCTGACCCTCAGCACGCACCCCTTCACTTGAGGTCTGTCATCTGACTCCCCGGACAAGGCGACAGCAGGTGGCTGGGACATCACAGCAGGAGGAGGCTGGGGTGGGGACACTGGAGTCCAGCTGGGGGAGAGAAGGGAGGCTCCTACGGTGGGAATGCACAGGCCTCAGAGGAAGAGCATCAGTCAGCTCCAGCTGCCGTAACAAATACCACAGGCACTGTGGCTTAGGCAACAGGAACCTATCATCTCACGGCTCCGGAGCCCAGAAGTCTGAGGCCTCTGGCCTTGGCTCATAGACGGCCACCTTCACCCTGCTGCTCACATCGTCTTCCCTCTGTGCGCTTGTGTCCACATTTCCCCTTCTGTAAGGGCACCATTCATGTTGGATTAGGACCCAGCCTAGTGACTTTATTTTAGCTCGATTATCTCTTTAAAAGCTCTACTCCAAATAAAGTCACATTGGGACTTCTCTGGCTGTCCAGCGGGTAAGACACCAGGCTTCTTCTGCAGGGGGCATGGGTTCAGTCTCTCTTAAAGAGCCAAGAACCCACATGCTGGACTGCGAAGACAACAGAAAGTCACATTCTGAGGTGCTGGAGGTCAGGACTCGACATAAGAATTTTGTGTGTGTTAGTTGCTCAGTCATGTTGGACTCTTTGTGACCCCATGGAGTATATAGCCTGCCAGGCTCCTCTGTCCATGGAATTCTCCAGGCAAGAATACTGGAGTAGGTTGCCATTCCCTGATCCAGTGGATGTTCCCAACCCCAGGATCAAACCTGGGTCTCCCGCATTGCAGGCAGATTCTTTACCATCTCAGCCAAAGAACTGGGGGTGGGGATGTCAGAATTCAGCCGATAATAGGAAGAAAGACATATTGTCAGGTGTCTATACTGCAGGGGAGTAAGAATCTTTCTCAGAGTAAAGAAGCATCACTCCCTGGGTTTGGAGAAGGGACGACCTACTCCCTGTGGAGGTAGGGGGATGTTCCCCGCATCAGGACAATTGAGCTGGACTGGAGGACATGACCCAGGCCATGAGGAAGGGGGTTCCTGCCCACAGCACAGAGGCTGTTGCATGTGGGGGTCTGGCGCACTGACTAGAAGATACAGCGAGGGGACCCTTGCCAGGCTGCGAGCTGAGGCCCAGTCTGGCAGTCCTCACACCTCTGCTCCTAGAATTGACTCCCAGCCGTTCCTCACCCACCCCCAAGACCCCTCACTAATCCTATGATCCCTCAAGGACCCCACGGATCCCTCACCCACCCCATGTTCCCACCCCCACGGTCCCAAACTCACTGCCCACCTTCCTGGCCCTCAACCTCACATGAAACTGCTCCTTTCTGGCCAGGGAGCCAGGCCAGCCTGTCCCAAGTGTCCACACATCTTCAGCAGTAGGGGCCTAGTGTCTTCTTTCTGCTTCGCTGACTCAGGACTTAGTGGCCTGGCAATAAGCCTTGAAGCAATGTTCTCATCATCCTTCCTGCCAGTCTACCTGACACAGAGTCCGTGTGTAACCTCCCGCATCCCAGGAGGCCTCAGAATGCACCCATCCCAGCCTTTAGGACACATGATAAAACGGTAAAGTTCCCCTTTAGCAGATATCCGATATGGACTAGATGCTATTCAAGAGATTTAGGCCAAGTTCTTTGCAATCCTGGCATTCCCACATATCCTGGACTCCCACTGACAGACGGCCACAAATGGACTCGCATGCACTCCCGCACGGATCGTCTGCAGCCAGGATCTTGCGCAGGAACTCCCTCCCCAAGAGGAGCTTGGAAGGCCTGCCGAGAGTGTCTAACTAGCGTCCACACATTTCCACAGTCCCTGCATCTGGCTGGGGTTCTACCACTGAGCTACCTCCACCAGCATCAGCCCTTAAGAGCCCAGTGGCCTCTGGAAGAGGGAAGACTAGCATTCCCTCCCTTGGTGGTGAACTCAGGTATGGGTCCTCAGGCACGACTGCCAAGGGCCCTGGAGTCAGGGAGCTACTGAGACGCCACGTGGTGCACACTCATTCTCCAGAAGGTCAGGGGAGCTCAGGCAGTTCGGCTGCACTAGCAGCCGCTCCACTGGCCCGAAGTTCTTCTTTTCCTCCCAACCCCAGCAGCCCCAGGCTGCCTGTGCCCTGGAGCCTGGCCTTCCTACATCTTATTTCTGGAGTTAGGTGTTTTTCCGCCCCTCCTGGTTGTCCTTAGACCTCTAACCAGGGACTCCAACACATACCATATCCGCATAACAGATGGACCCAATGTCAGCTTCAGCCCAACCAGTTCCCCATTGCCTGAAACCGACTTAGTGCTCAGCATTATCATCTCGGTTTCGCTGCTTTTTAAAGATAAACTGAAGCCTAGCAGGGTTAAGCAGTTTTTCAGAGGTGACATAAGTAGGAATTAGTGGGAACAGGAATTCAAATCTTGATCTTTCTTACAGAACTTGAATATCATTGTTCTTTGTACTCCTGCAGACTGTACTCAGATGCCTGAGTTAATTTTGAGTTAATTTTAATATTCATTAAAAACTCTATTCCTTTTCCTTTATATTGCTTTTTAAGGTTTGTAAAAATTTAAAAGTGCAGTTGAGTCCCTTGGGACACAAGTTTTTCTTTCTGCTTAAAAAGTTTTTTACTCTTGGTGAAAAAAAAAATAATGAAAGGAAAAAAATGCCTCAAAAGGGTAGACATGTATGAAACCTTAACAGTGGCCATATTGAAAAAGAAAGATAGAGAATTGGGAATTCAGAACTCAGGTTTCTTTCCTCCTCTTTGTTACAATTGTGTAGGAAATTGTCCTTAACTTGTGCCCAATTCCTCATGATTTCTATCTTTTTCCCCAACTCTAAATCTGAAAGATTTCAATGATACCTATATTTGATACTTTCAGAGGGTTTTACCAGTCACTTGAAGGGAAAGGCTTGTCCATCTGCATATTTCCCAGGCCTTTAGTGCTCTTCAGCACAAAAACATCTTCTTACAGGCACCTAGCTTTTTATTTTTTTTCTCTGGGTTAGCCACTCTGTGCACTCTCCCTTGACCTCAGTTGAGAAGATGAGGTGAGAGCAATTTAAGGAAAATCACAGTAAACTTTATTTAAAACAAAACAAAACAAAAATCAAACTGTTAAGGGGTGAAGAAATTAACAACCTGGAGACATTTCTCACTATTTGAGCCTTTCTCAGGGGAAAAGATGAAATCATTTTTAACCAGTAACTTCACACTAGAGGAGTGGGAAGGCAAAATATTGACCCTGGTACTCCAGAAAGCCGGCTCTCTTCTTGATTCTTCCCCTGGTCCTGTCAATCAGTCATTAAAAGAGTCTCATTCATGGCTCTGAGTAGAGTTTGAATGGGCCTTCCCAGGGCCACTGACATAAAAATTGAATTGTGGAAAAAATTACCCCATCTCACGTCTATAGTCATTTTGTACTCCATCAAAATCTTAGACCACAGAGGCAGATATAATTAAATTAGTCCAGAAATAATTTGGGGAGACAGGCAACAGAAGGGAGTAGCAAAACTCCTTTGGACCATGATCTCTGACTATTCGTGCAGAAAGGTGGGGGGCAGGTATTGACTGCTGAGAAAACAATCTATGGTTGTGGATCACAGAGCTTAGATGACCGATCATATTCTACTAAAGCATGGAACTTTAGGAGGACAGTGGGATCCAATGCTTATGTCTTGTAGAGTTTTCAATCTGTGTGCTTGGAGGCTCTCAGTACTGTTATATATCAGGGGTTTTGAGAGGTATCCTGTGAAGTAGAAATGGTACTAATTTTGGAATTGATCACTAAGAGAATCTGATGACTGAGTTTTCTTTGTAAAGTATTACTAACCCAAATCAATAAGCTGATTCTGCTACTATTTCTTTCTTTCTTTTTTAAAAATTTTTTTTTAAGATTGGGCAGCTTATATTCTCCAGTATATAATATAAATGGAAGGGAGCATATAATTATTCCCATGCTACTGCTATGTCAACTGAAAGTGACTCAAATTTTCAAGTCTTGATCAAAGTTATTGACATAACAAAAACCTTGCAAGGAAACATCTGAGTATCAACATTTACTGAAGAACCTCCATGTAGTAAATAAATAATAAGAAAAAATAGTCTAGTAGAGTGAATGTATTTGGAAAGTGTAGGAATGGAGTCAGCAGACAGTAGTATTTCAGAGCATTTCCCAGATCTGAAATTCTTTGCTAGAATTGTTCTTTAATGGAAACTTTTGGCCTACTAGGGAAAAGGACCTACTGGTTTTTGACAGACATAAACAAGAATCACGGAACTGCAGTCTAAGGGCAAGAAAAGGCATGAAAGGGCATGAAAACACTTTCCCAATTTAAGGATATTGTGCTTAGGGTGGAGAAGGCAATGGCAATCCACTCTAGTACTCTTGCCTAGAAAATCCCATGGACGGAGGAGCCTGGTAGGCTGCAGTCCTTGGGGTCGCTAGGAGTCGGACACGACCTGAGCGACTTCACGTTCCCTTTTTGAAATGAAATGCATTGGAGAGGAAAATGGCAACCCACTCCAGTGTTCTTGCCTGGAGAATCCCAGGGACGGCGGAGCCTGGTGGGCTGCCGTCTGCGGGGTCGCGCAGGGTCGGACACGACTGGAGCGACTTGGCGGCGGCGGCGGCGGTACTTAGGGTGCAGGTCTCCAAAACTCTTGTATCTAAGTGCATGGATTTCACGTGTGCAGTGTAAAAATCACCGGTGCGCATCTCACAAGAGCTGGTTTTAAGAAGAGAGTGCTACGAAGGCTCCCGGTGAGAAGCATGGACAGAGAAGCTCCCCAGCGTGCCCGGACCCTCCACCTGGCTCCGCTCCTGCAGCGACCTCCCGGGGCAGCCGCGTGCCCCCGTCTGCGCGCATGCGCATGCGCCCGCCCCCGCGGACGGGCCGACGGCCGTTGTCCAGCAACGGCTGCCGGCGTCGGTTAAGGCTGTCCGCTCAGGAAGGCGGGCGCTCTCGCTGCAGTGGGGAGGGCGGAGCCCCGACGGCCAGCCTGGCGGGGGCGGGGGCGGGGGCGGGGGCGGGGGCGGGGGCGGGGGCGGGGGCGGGGGCGGGGGCGGGGGCGGGGGCGGGGGCGGGGGCGGGGGCGGGGGCGGGGGCGGGGGCGGGGGCGGGGGCGGGGGCGGGGGCGGGGGCGGGGGCGGGGGCGGGGGCGGGGGCGGGCCCTCCCGTCCCGGCAGCCCCTAGAATCCATCGCAGGAACTTGGAGGTATTGGAGATAAGGGGGACGCCGAGTCTTCAGCGCTCAGGTGCCGCGCTCCATGCCGGTGTTTGACCCCGGGGACACCTGTGCCCTGGTCAGGGCAGGGAGGCTCCCCCAGAGCGCCCAGTTCCCGGGCGGTGCTCACACCAGGCTCACGGGCATCTGTGGGGAGCGGGCTGCCAGAATGCTTCCCCGGCTGCAGGCCCTGCAGTGGCGCGTCAATCGTGCGGGCAGTTAACGGTGCCATTCTAGCCGGTGCCTTCCGAGGAGAACAAACGCCAGAGGGACTTTCTTCCGCTTGAGAGCGCTCATCGCAAGAAGTAGCGCAGGTCATCGGAAGACGAGTGGAGACTGAGTGAAGATCTCACATACATGCTCATAGTTTCACAGATGTCTTCCTATTTAACGAACATATCGGTCAACCCGTGTGCTCAAAGGGCACTCCTGTCCATGATGGAGTAGCAGACATCTATTTGTAGTCTGATGTCAAATCATGACTGATTTGCAAGCATAGATGGGGCTTGCACCTAATTAATTGGTTGGTGGGAGTCTGATAGATTGTCCAACGTGCAGGTGGTTTTGTCTGTGGATATTTGTGATTAAGGGGAGTTCACGTCTCTAATCTGGTGAGAGTGTGTAAGGGTGAGTGTTGTATTTGGAGGGTGTTGAGGTTGTAGCACAGGCATCAAGTAGTTGGTGATTAGGTGTTTGATGTTTGAGGACTATTTTTACATGTGCTATTTTCACCCATGAATTTGGGGATTTGTTTGTGTTGAATGGTGGATTTTCATATGCGTAAGGGCAATGTTAGGAAAAAGTACTGGTGTATATTAGTTTGGGTGTACAGTCTGTTCTGTGTCCGTGAGGAATGTTGGGTGGTAATCTGTGTACTGAGGGCACCATTTGTGTCTAGTGCTTGTACGGTTCTGCGGTTTCTGTGTGTGTGGGTTTTCAGGAGCTATCTATGGGGCCATCTATATATATTTTGCTGTGTAGGGGCAAGTCTGTGGCTATTTTTTGGGGCTGGTGGATGTTGTTTATACTTGTGTTTATATGTTTCTGTATTCTGCAAGATGGGAGAATTAATTCTGTGTGAGAATTTGGGAATGTGGGATAAGTATATGCAGGTAGTGTGGTATGTATTTGAAACAGAGTATATGTATATAGTCATATCTTTGCATATTTGTAGTGTAGTGGGTAATTGTGGTTATATTTGGGGCTTACGGAGAGTTTGTGTATAATGAACTTGTGTGTATATTTAAGGGGTATGGCCATTTGGAGGAATATTTGCTAGTGCTTTGGATTTCTATTTTTCAGTAGGGGCTTCCTAGGCTTATATATTTTGAGAAGTTAGTATGTGTGTATCTGATGAGAAGGTGAGGTTTCAGGTTTAACAGGGGAGTTGGTAAATTTCATTTATATATATTAGAAATATGTGATGTGATTATTTGTTAGTATATGCAGATGTATGAGCTGGCTTCTACTAGCTAGGGATCATTTGGTATATGGAAGTTTTTTCATAAGTGGTTTCCTGGAGATATTTCTATGTGTCTTACTTGTGTATACTGATTTGTATGTGTCCATCATTAGGTGCATGAATTATGAAAGTGTTCATAATGTGTGGAGTGCTTGGAGGATTGAAATGTATTTCTTTGAAGACTGTTAGGGTGTTTATACGTGTGTGTTGTAGTAGGTAATATATTCGTATATTCAGGGTGAGGATTGATATACATATATAGTGTCCTTCTCTTTATACGTTGGGAGAGAGGTGAGGAGGTTGTATTCTGGAGAGATAGCATAATGGATCTCCAGTATTCTTGCCTGGAGAATCCCCGTGGACAGAGGAGCCTGGTGGGCTACAGTCCATGGGGTCACAAAGAGTCAGACACGACTCAGTGACTAAGCACAGCATAGCACAGCATTTCATTCTTTATATTCAGAATGGTGCTTTTTCCTTAATACCCTCTTTGGGATAGTTCATTGCTTTTATAGAATGACTTCTATATGCTGACTTTATATCCTGCAACTTTGCTAAATTCATTTATGAGTTCTGATGGTTTCTGTTGCCGTTGTCACTGGTGTTGTTTCTGAAACTTTAGGATTTTCTACGTATATGATCACGTCACCTGCAAATGGAGGCAGTGTGACTTCTTCCTTTCTGGTTTTCATGCACTTTATTTCTTCGTCCTGCCTAAGGCCTCCGGCTCGGACTTTCAGCGCTGTGTTGAATAAACGTGGTGGGTGTGGGCATTTTTGCCTTCTTCCTGATATTAGAGCGAAAGCTTTCAGTTTCTCACAGTTGAGTAATATGTTTGCTGTGATGTTTTCATATATGCCATTATTGTGGTGAGGTGTGATCCTTCTATACCCAATTTGCTGAGAGTTTTTGTCATAAAAGAATGTTGAATATTGTCAAATCCTGTTCTGCGTCTATTGAGATGATCATGAGTTTTTCCCCATTTTGTTAATGTAGTGTATTATGTTGATTGAGCTGTGTATTTTGAACCATCCTTGCATGCCATGAATAAATCACACTTCATCATGGGGTAGGATCCTTCTAATTAATTCTTGAATTAGCTTTGCTAATATTTTTTGAGGATTTTTGAATCTGTGCTCATTCCAGATATTGACCTATAATCTTCTTGTAATGTGTTTGTCTGGCTTTGATATCAAGGTAATGCTGGCCTTGTAAACTTAATTTAAAAGTGTTCCCTCGTCTCCAGTTTTTTCTGGAGGACTTTGAAAAGGATTGGTATTAATTCTTTAAATGTTTGGTAAAATTTACCAATGAAGCCATATGGTCCTGGATTTTCTTTATATTTACATTATTGATTCTGTCTCCTTATTTGTTATTGGTCTGTTCAGACTTTCTATTTTGTCTCGATTCAGTGTTAATAGGTTGTATGTTTCTAGGAATTTATCTGTTTCTTCTAGGTTATCTAATTTGTTGACTTAATTATTTCTGATCGACTCTAATGCTTCTTTTATTACTGAGGCATCATTTGTATTGCCTCCTTTTTCATTTGTGATTTCGTTGATTTGTCTCTCTTTCTCCTTAATCTAGCTAACAGTCTGTCACATTAATGTTTTCAGAAAAACACTACTTAGTTTTGTTTATATTTTCTATTATTTTTCTGTTGTCTAATTCCTTCTGCTAAATGTGTGGTGAGTGTTTTCATTTTCTATAGTTCCTTGAGGCATAAAATTAAATTTTTTATTTGAAGTTTTTCTTGCCTTTTAATGTATGCATTTATCACTATGAACATCTCCTGTAGTTTTGCTTTTGGTTCATCCCCTAAGTCTTAGTGTGTTGGGTTTCATTTTAGTTTGTCTCAATATACTTTTTCATTTTCCCTTTGATTTTGTCTTTGAGCCACGGTTTTTTTAAACGTTTTTTACATCATGTAAATATAATTAAAATTGGTGTATTTTATATATGAGGGTTAAGAAAGTAAATCCTAAGAGTTCGCATCACAAGAGAAACATTTTTTTCTTTTATTTTTATTTTGTATCCATATGAGATGATGTTCACTAACCTTCTTGTGATAATCATTTCCTGATGTATGTAAGTCAAAGCATTATGCTGTATGTCTTAAAATTATGCAGTGGTCAATGTCAGTTAAACCTCAATAAAACCAGAATTGGGGAAAAGAATGTATCATTTAGTTTCCACATATTTCTCAATTTTCCTGTGTTCTTGCTCTTAAGGGATTTATTTCATCCTATTGTGGTCAGAAAAGATACCTGAAGTTATTTCAAATTTGTTAATTATTAATTAATTAATTAACAATCTATTAATAATTATTTTGAAATAGCAATTTCAAAAACAAATTATTTAAAGTTGTTAAAACTTGACTGTGGCCTCTTATGTATCCTGGAGAATGTTGCCTGTGTGTTTGAATGTATATGTGCTGCTGTTTGGTGGTATGTTTAAATATGTCTGTAAGGAGCATATGATCTATAGTGTTTTCAAGGCATGTTTGTTTACTGATTTTCTATCCATTTTTATAAGGGGATTATTGAAGTTCCTTATGGGCATTTTATGCAATCAATTTTTTTTTCTTTAATTCCAGTATTTCCTTTATATCTTTATGTGCTCTGATGCTGTATGCATATATAATTCTTATATATTTCTGTTGAAGTGACTCTTTTATTAAAATATAGAGACCTTCTTTTTTTATGGAGACAATTTTGGACTTAATATCTTATTTTCTTTTTTATGAGTAGCCACCCCTGGTTTCTTTTCCTTACTATCTACATGCATGGAGTATCTTTTTTCATCCCTTCATTTTGAGCCTATATGTGTCTTTAAATCTAAAATGAGTTTCTTGTATAACTTCTAGTTGGGTCTTTTTTATTTTTTCTTTTTTAAACCATTCAACCACTGTTTAATCCATTTATATTATTTATCGATCAGTAGGGATTACTGTTACTGTTTAGTTAATTGTCTTCTGTATATATTGCAGGTGTTTTGTCCTCTTCCTGGCTAGCTTTCTTTCATTGTTGTTTGATGACTTTTTAGTAGTGATTTGCTTTTACCCCTGACTGCATTTTCTTCTCAAGGTTTTGTATTATCTTTACTATCAGTGTTCTGAATTCTCTGATAGACTCCCTGTCTCCTCTTCTTTGTTTGGTCTAGTGAGTTTTTATAATGTTCTTTCACCTTGTATATTTCTCATCTTTTCATTTTATTTAGTTTGCTGTTTGGTGACTCGTTGCTTTAGGCTGGAGGGTTCTTCAGTTCAGTTCAGTTCAGTCGTGTCCGACTCTTTGTGACCCCATAAAGTGCAGCGCGTCAGGCCTCCCTGCCCATCACCAACTCCCGGATCTTACTCAAACTCATGTCCATCGAGTCGGTGATGCCATCCAGCCATCTCATCCTCTGTCGTCCCCTTCTTCTCCTGCCCCAAGTCCCTCCCAGCATCAGGGTCTTTTCCAGTGAGTCAACTCTTTGCATGAGGTGGCCAAAGTATTGGAGTT